AAGTTTGTCAGAAGTAGGTAGTGAAGGAATAACAATATCTCACGCATGACTGAGCTGCACGACTTTTTAAACTTCACATTTATTATTTAATTTGTGAAAAAAATTGAAACTAAAAAATAGTCCTTCCCAAAGTTTAGTATAAGCATAACTCGTAGTTGGCAAAGTGATTTTAGGTAATACAGACGTGAACCTATTTTGAATTTTTTAGCATATGTATTTATGTTTTTGTGTGTTAGAGAAATATGTGAGTTAACATGTCAAACCCACACTTCCATAAGATTAGAGTTTAGAAATGGACTAAGGAAGAATAAGAAGTGGGTTTAAACTCAATTTAAAGCAAGACATTACGCAGAGATGCATACAAGCCTCCCATGAATGCAGCAATCATGGAGTTTCGAAGGCAACAGGAGATACTCTGCATGTCAGTGCGACACGGAGGCTAGTGAGGAGGTTGTTACCTGCCTTAGCTGATGGAATACCAAAATGAAGAGAGGCAGGGGATGGTTTGAGACCAGACTGGGCAACAGAGCAAGACCCTGTCTCAAGAAGAAAAAAGAAGAAAGAAGGAGAAAAGGAGGAGGAGGAGGAGAGGAGGAGGAAGATTCAAGATGTCAGGGAACCTGCAATGTCTTAAGTATCCATGTAGTGCAAAACTCTAATGGCCAAACTTTAAATTTTCCTGCACTCAAGAGATGAAAAATGAACTCTCAATCCTTTTTGGCTGCACATTAACATTACCCGAGGAGCTTTTTCAAAGCACGATGGCTGGGCTCCTCCCTTAGAGGTTGTGCACCTCTAAGGTCTGGGTGAAGGCTGGGCATCAGCATTTTTAGGGTTCCCTCACTGGTTCGCATGTGCAGCCAAGGCTGAGGAGTTCTGGTCAAGGTCACCTTCTTTCTGAACACCTCTGGATGTTGTCCTGTCCACAAAATGGGAATTTGAGTCCACGACCGCACTGGTCTCCCTCTGCATCGGCATTCTAAAAACTCCCCAGCCCTCTACTGGCAGGATAATGAGGCTAATGACCAATCAACCCCTAATGAGGATGGATTCGTTTATTAAGCAGCAATTATGTGCCAGGTGTTTCCCCCTCCCCAAGCCCAGGGAACTCAAGGGCAAGCAGGAGACGACCTGGGGAAGGCTGGGGAAGAGCGGGGCAGCCAAGAGAAGGCAGAGAGCCTGCTGTCCCTTAGGGGGTCTTCCGGATGGGTTTGGGATCAAAGCACAGCGGCCTGCTGGAAACGCAGCAGCAGCTCGTGTAAATACCCAGCCTTTAATGAGGCAGGGCGGACTCGAGCCTGGATCGGATGTATGTGTGAAGGAATCTCACCCAAGCATGGCCAACGAGCTTCCGGGCAGAGAATGTGCTGCAGGAAAGTGGGATGGAGGGAAAGGGCAGCCTGTGGGGAGAAGAAACCCAAACCAGAAGCAAAGGGCACTAGGGGAGGGAATCACACACAGCTCAGCAGACCACCTGGGTCCCTCCTGAGACTCTAGGGTATGGAAAGCCCCCCACCTCCACAGGACAATGAGAATGCAAATGAGAGAAATTGGCCTGCACAGTCCTCAAGAATGAGGGATAAGGTTTAGGAAAGGATTTCCCACTCACTCTTCAGCTGAGACTTCCTGCATTACATCCCCAACGTTATACCCCAATGGGAAGGAAAGTTCTGCTTATCAATGAGAGGACAATCATCAGATCCTCCTGCTCCTGGGTCGAGTGACAGACCAAACTGAAGGATGCAGCAGAGAGGTGGGAACAGACACTTTGTCAAGCAACATGTTCTTTGTCTCCAAACATTCAGGGCTTGGCATCTTGGAAGCACACAGTAGCTACTTCTAAGCATGAAAGATATGAATGGGATGAGTAGATATGACATTGACTGTGGCAGAATGGAAGGGGTGAAGTGGGAAGGATGGACTGCATGGAATAAACTGCGATGGAGTAGAATGGAATGGAGTGAATTCAAGTGGAATGAAATAGCACAGAAAACATAAGACGCTGGGATAAGATGGAATGGGGATGATGGAATAAAGTGAAGTGAACTGGAGTGGAATGGACTAGAGCGAAGCAGAAGGGAATGGAGTGGGGTGGGGTGGTGGGGAATGGGATAGTGCAGGATTGGCAGAATACAGGAGATGGGATGGGATGGGGGGTGGGGGGGTGAGAAGGCATGGGATAGCATGACATGAGGTGGAGAGAGATGGAATGGGCTGGAAAAGATAGAGTGGAAAGAGAAGGGATGGGAAAGGATGGAAAGATTTGGAAAGGGATGGGGGAAATGTGAGGGAAAGGAAGAGTAAAGAAAGGAAGAGAAGGGCAGTGAAGATGAAAGTAGGGGTGGGACAGGACGGGATGGAGTGGAATGGAGAAACATGGGATGGGGTTGGGTGGGATGGACAGATTCTTTCACAAGCCCTAACTGCTGATCTTCACCATTAGAAAAAAGAAAGAACATTGCTATGAAGATTCTGGCTTGGGTGGGGACAGATGTGGAAAGACAGCATCCTTTGGTGGGTTGCAATGATGTCTCTCCCTTCTTTTTTGCATGGTGGCTCTCCAGACCCAACCCTCAAATGACATGAGCTTGGAGTCATGCACCTTATGAGAGCTATGGCTCACTCTTTCCTCCCACCTTGCACCTGGTACTCCAAGCATGCTGTGCTCACCGGAGAAATGGATGGATTTGTGGATGGATCACCTAATTAATTAATTAACGGGTCAGACTCGGTCACCTTCCACTCCCTCCTGTGAGCCAGCCCAGACATTCCAGAATTCTATAGCTCCAGCACCATGCCCCAGAGAAAACCAAAAAACAGCCTCCTGGACCTTGAATTATTAGCCACTTTTCAAAGAAAGTCAAGACTCTGTCAACATTTTTTTCTTCCCTCCCAAAATTAAAATGTGCCTCCAGTATAACTTGTTATCAAAAATAGAAGCATTTTATCTATCTTTATTGCAGAACAGAGATTACATGGAGACATTCAATTTGGAGTCAATTTAAATTTCAATTGTCTGTGAAATCTAAATCAATAGGGTATAGTTCAATGACGCTTTAATAAAACAGGACATAACAGAGAAATCATTAGGAATTACATATGATACGAGATTGGAGCAGAGCCTTCGTAATGGTGGAAGGAACATTAGAAAATTACCCCCAAGCATTCGCAAGTAAACCAACTACCTCCTTCCCCCATGAGATGCCCGAGAAAGCTTAATTGTGCTATGAGGACTGGAAATCCATCTCTGTCAGCCCAGTGATTGGGGGACAATTTACAGTGAGTGACAAAGGCGGGGGTTTTGTCTCGCCTGGAATGTGCCAATCATGTTTCTCCATCTCAGTGTCTGGAAGAATGTTATACCCTCTCCAATTCCCAACTTTTTCCTCCTTGCTCCCCACCTAGCCTCCTTTGCCCTGAGACTTCACCTTGCAAGAGGCCCCTAGGAGGGTCCACTCCAGGTTACAATGCACAGAGGCAGGGAAAAGGGGAAGCAGCTGAACGGAGTGGATAAATGCCCAGGCTTTGCAGAAAGACAATCTGAGAATGAATCTCAATCCCTCTCCTGTGTCTTAGGCAACTTGCTTTACCTCTGAGCCTTCCCTGAGTTTCCACCATTGAAAAAATAGAGAATCCAACATCCACCTCATAGGCAAGTGCTTCTTTAGCCAATAAATATTTTGAGGGCCTTCTGTGTAGCAAGCAGCAGAGCAAGGAGGAGGGCAAGGCAGATGAGGCACTTCCATTAAGTGCAAAATTCAAGGGGGTACTAAAAAGTTCAGTGCTCAAAATAAATAATATTTAATGCACTATTTTTTTAATCAAAATTAATTCAAAAAACCCAAAATGAACAAAATCTCAAATTTTCACATAAAGACAAGATCAGTAACTGCACAAAGCCATACTGGACCCCGAGGCCAAGGGGAAAATCATCAATACGTTGATTCCATCTGATATGGTTTAGATTTGTGTCCCCACCCAACTCTCATCTAGAACTGAAATCCACAATGTTGGAAAAGGGGCCTGGTGGGAGGCAACTGGATCATGGGAGCAGATTTCCCCTTTGCTGTTCTCATGACAGTGAGTTCTCATGAGATCTGTTTGTTTAAAAGTGTGTGGTACCTCCTCCTTCACTCTCTTTCTCCTTCTCTGGTCATGTAAGAGATGCTTGCTTCCCTTTTGCCTTCTGCCATGATTATAAGTTTCCTGAGGCTCCCCAGCCATGCCTCCTGTAAAGCCTTCAGAACTGTGAGTCAATTAAACCTCTTTTCTTTATAAATTTCCCAGTCTCAGGTAGTTCTTTATAACAATGCAAGAACAAACTAATATACCCTCTTTATTTAACAGTTTGATATTTTCGAATTTTGTGCATTAATTTTGATTTCTGAAAATATTACATTAAAACATCATTTATCTTGATTATTGATATTTTTTTTGAGACAGAGTCTTGCTTTGTTGCCAGGCTGGAGTGCAATGGCGCGATCTCGGCTCACTGCAACCTCCGCCTCCTGGGTTCAAGCAATTCTTCTGCCTCAGCCTCCCAAGTAGCTGGGACCACAGGCGCATGCCACCATGCCCGGCTAATTTTTGTATTTTTGGTAGAGATGGGGTTTCACCATGTTGGCCAGGATGGTCTCGATCTCTTGACCTCATGATCCGCCCACCTCAGCCTCCCAAAGTGCTGGGATTACAGGCGTGAGCCACCACACCCGGCCAATTATTGTTTTATCAGTGCTTCTCTTGCCCCTTAAATTTTGCATCCCAGAACAGTGCCTCACTTGGTTCATTTCCTAGTCTTGGCCCTGCAAAGCAGTGTGCTAGGTATGCTAAGGCCTGGGGCAGCTAAGGAAACTTAACAGACACACAAATTACCCTTCCGGAGCTCTTGGTTTAGCAAACAAGACAGATAAAAACAAGTAAACAAACAGATAAACAGAAACATGAGATGCTACAATAAGTCTAACGGTAGAATCATGCCACTGAGAAGGGTGATAACTTACTCAGACAAAATGGTCAGCAACAAGCAACACCTTCTCTACATCTCCAAGCTTCGAGGCCCCTGTTGTTCTCCCTAATAGATTTCTAGTGTGCATTAAAGGGCTAACTCAGCAGACTTAGGATGTTCAAACCCATGTGTGCTCCACAGAAAGAACCTGACTGACTCCTGGAAGATTAATCCTAAGCTCTTGCAGTATCCTCCCTAACTCGGTCTTTTTATAGCTGGGTATTTGGGCCAAACCAGGCTAGACAGTCTAGGTAACCAGGTAATTATGGTGGGAGCCTTTAATCACATTGACTTCTGCAGGGGCTGGTGACTAAGCAAGGTCAGTCAGGTAACTCCACACCTGTGTGGCTGACCTCCAATTGAAACCCTGAACACCAAGGCTCAGGTGAGTTTCCACAGGTAGCAACACTCTATACATGTTGTCACACATCATTGGTGGGAGAATTAGGCATGTTTGTAGGATTCCACTGGGAGAGGACAACTGGAAGCCTATTCTGGAACCTGCCCCATGTACCTTTATTTTGCAGTTTTTAATCTGAATCCTTCTGTTGTAATAAACCATAATCATGAGGATAACAGGTCTTCTGAGTTCTGGGAGTCCTTCTAGTAAAGGATTTGAAATCATTCATGGAAGCTGTCAGTGATCTTGGGGACCCACAGTGTAGTGGCTCTGATCTCTCACAGCACTCATCACAGTTCATAACTGTGTGTGAAATATTCTGTTCTCGTACTGCTAACAAAGACATACCCAAGACTGGGTAGTTTATAAAGGAAAGAGACTTAATTGACTCTCAGTTCTGCAGGGCTGGGAAGACCTCAGAAAACTTAAAATCATGGCGGAAGAGGAAATAAACATGTCCTTCCTTACAGAGCGGCAGAATGGAGCAGTGCCGATCCAAAGAGGGAAAAGCCCCTTATAAAACCATCAGATCTAAAAAGAACTCACTCACTATCATGAGAACAGCAGGAGGGTGAATGCCCCCATGATTAAATCACCTCCCACCAGCTCCCTCCCACGACACATGGGGATTATGGGAACTACAATCCAAGATGAGATTTGAGTGGGGATACAGCAAAACCATATCTGTGTGTGTGTGTGTGTGTGCATGCACGCATGGGCGTGTGTGTGTGTGTGTGTGTGTGGTCATGTGACCACAGATTAGACTTATGATATCCAACACACATTTGGCCACTGGCCAATGGGGGATTTCCAAGATGGCACCGTAGGAACAACTCAGGATTGCAGCTTTCAGTGAAGGTGCAGAGGGTGAGTCCTAGCCGCATTTCCAGATGTATCTTTGTTGCCCACAGAACAGGGCAATTCCCAGGTGTAGGAGAGACACGGGATGCCAGTGCAGCCCTCTCGGCTTGCGCGGGCCATTTCGGCCGGCGCCGCAGTGCAGCAACACCCCACACAAAACGCGCTGGTCTGGATGCCCTGTTAAACCAGCAATCTGAGATTTGGGAGGGCAGATTAGCATATCCATCTGATTAAACAGGACTTAAACAGTGAGACAGACCAAGAGATTCCCAGGAAGCGACATTTGAGCTGATGCAGTGGGTCGCTGCACGGGAAATCATACAGATCCTGGTGCCCTAACAGCAGGCGACTAAAACATCTGGGAGAGAGTCAACCATTCAACTTAAAAAAAAAGAGGGAGAAAAAGGGCTCTGAGGCAGGGAGCCAGTTGATCAGGCTCAGCGGGTCCTACCCCCACAGGGACAAACAAAATGGCGATTCGAAACGCTCGGGGTAGAGAGTTTCACTGCGGGCACAGCTGAATCCAGGATGGTGCAGCTCGGTGGGGGAGGGGCGTCCGCCATTACCGAGGCATTCCACCCCTAATGAGGTACCCTCCCATTGCTGATGCAGCCTGCCATTGCCGAGGCAACCCGCCATTGCAGAGAGACTCCACCAACAGGGCAGAGCCCACAACAGCAGGGCAGAGCCCACAGGCAACAGGGCAGAGCCCACGGCAACAGGGTGGAGCCCACGACATTAGGGCGGAGCTCACAGCAGCAGGGCAGAGCCCACGGCAACAGGATGGACCCCACGCCAGCAGGGCGGAGCCTCAGCAGGCAAATAGTGACTAGACTGACTCCTAGCTGGGCAGGACAGTGCAACGGACACTCATAAAGAAAGCCCTAACTCCCTGAGACAGAGCATCTGAGGGAAAAAAAGGGGTTTTATAAGTTCTGCTGCAGCAGACCTAAACGCACCTGCCTAACAGACCTGAATGAACAATGGAGCTCACAGCTCAGCACTTGAGCTCCTATAAAGTACAGTCCGTCTCCTCAAGCAGCTTCCTGACCCCTGTATATCCAAAGAGTCACCTCAAAAAGGATTGATCAGACTGACATTTGGCGGGCATCATTCTGGGACAAAGATAGCAGAAGAAGAAACTGGTAGCATCCCTCACTGTTCCGCAGCTGCTACAGGCGTACCCCAGACAAGCAGGGCCTGGAATGGACCTCAGCAGTCATAGAGCAGAGGGGCTAGACTGTTAGAAGGAAAACTAAGTAACAGAAATACTTCATCATCAACAATCTGGGCGTCCACACAGAGACCCAATCGAAAAGTCAGCAACTACTCAGACGACAGGTGGATAAGTCCACAAATATGGGAAGAAACCAGCACAAAAAGGAGGAAAACACCAGCACAAAAAGGAGGAAAACACCCGAAACCAAAATACCTCGCCTCCTACAAAGGACAAAAACTCCTCACCAGCAAGGGAACAAAGCTGGACAGAGAATGAGTGTGATGAAATGATGGAATCAGACTTCAGAAGGTACATAATGAGGAATTTCCATGAGCTAAAAGAACATGTTCTAAATCAATGCAAAGAAACTAAGAACCTTGAAAACAGATTCAAGGAAATGATATCAAGAATGGACAACTTAGAGAGGAATATGAATGAATTGAAGGAGCTAAAAAACACGACATGAGAACTTCGCGAAGCATGCACAAGTTTCAACAGCCGAATTGACCAAGCAGAAGAAAGAATATCAGAAGTCGAAGATCAACTCAATGAAATAAAACGAGAAACCAAGATTAGAGCAAAAAGTACAAGAAGGAATGAACAAAGTCTCCAAGAAATGTGGGACTATGTGAAGAGACCTAACCTAGGTTTGATAGGTGTACCAGAATGTGACAAAGAGAATGAATCCAAGCTGAAAAATACTCTTCAGGATATTATCCAGGAAAATTTCCCCAACCTAGCAAGGCAGGCCAATATTCAAGTCCAGGAAATACAGAGAACACCACAAAGATATTCCACAAGAAGAGCAACCCCAAGGCACATAATCGTCAGATTCACCAGGGTTGAAATGAAGGAGAAAATACTAAGGGCAGCCGGAGAGAAAGGTCAGGTCACCCACAAAGGGAAGCCCATCAGACTCACTGCAGATCTCTCGGCAGAAATGCTACAAGCCAGAAGAGAGTGGGGGCCAATATTCAACATCCTTAAAGAAAAGAACTTTCAACCCAGAATTTCATATCCAGCCAAACTGAGCTTCATAAGTGAAGGGAAAATAAAATCCTTTGCAAACAAGCAAGTACTCAGAGATTTTGTCACCACCAGGTCTGCTTTACAAGAGCTCTTGAAAGAGGCACTACACATAGAAAGGAACAACCAGTACCAGCCATTCTAAAAACATACCAAATGCTAAAGAGCATCAACAAAATGAAGAATCTGTATCAACTAATGGGCAAAACAGCCAGCTAGCATCAAAATGGCAGTATCAAATTCACACATAACAATATTAACCATAAATGTAAATGGCTAAATGCACCAATCAAAAGACACAGACTGGCAAATTGGATAAAAAACCAAAACCCATCGGTGTGCTGTATCCAGGAAACCCATCTCACATGCAAGGATACACAAAGGCTCAAAATAAAGGGATGGAGGAAGATTTACCAAGCAAATGGAGAGCAAAAAAAAGCAGGAGTTGCAATTCTCGTCTCTGATAAAATAGACTTTAAAGCAACAAAGATCAAAAGAGACAAAGAAGGGCATTACATAATGGTAAAAGGATCGATACAACAAGAAGAGCTAACGATCCTAAATATATATGGACCCAATACAGGAGCACCCAGATATATAAGGCAAGTTCTTAACGACTTACAAAGAGACTTAGACTCCCACACAATAATAGTGGGAGACTTCAACACTCCACTGTCAATATTAGACAGATCAACCAGACAGAAAATTAACAAGAATATCCAGGGCTTGAACTCAGATCTGGAACAAGCAAACCTGATAGACATTTACAGAACTCTCCACCCCAAATCCACAGAATATACATTCTTCTCAGCACCACATCACATCTACTCTAAAACTGACCACATAATTGGAAGTAAAGCACTCCTCAGCAAATGCAAAATAACTGAAATCATAACAAACAGTCTCTCAGACCATAGTGAATGAAGTTAGAACTCAGAATTCAGAAACTAACTCAGAACCACACAGCATCATGGAAACTGAACAACTGGCTCTTGAATGTTGATTGGATAAACAATGAAATAAAGGCAGAAATAAAGAAGTTCTTCAAAACCAACGAGAATGAAGACACAACATACCAGAATCTCTGGGACACATTTAAAGCAGTCTCCAGAGGAAAATACATAGCAATAAGTGCCCACATGAGAAGAGTGGAGAGATCCAAAATTGACACCCTACCATCAAAATTGAAAGAGCTAGAGGAGCAAGATCAAAAAAACTCAAAACCTAGCAGAAGACAAGAAATAACTAAGATCAGAGCAGAACTGAAGGAGATAGAGATACGACAAACCCTTCAAAAAAGCAATAAATCCAAGAGGTGGTATTTTGAAAAGATCAACAAAATAGACAGACCAGTAGCCAGACTGATAAAAAAGAAAAGAGAGAACAACCAAATAGATGCAATAAAAAATGATAAAGGGGAAATCACCACAGATTCCACAGAAATTCAAATTATCATCAGAGACTACAAACGACTCTATGCACATAAACTAGTAAACCTGGAAGAAATGGATAAATTCCTGGACACCTGTGTCCTCCCAAGCCTAAACCAGGAGGAAGCCAAAACTATGAATAGACCAATAACAAGGTCAGAAGTCGAGGCAGCAAATAAGAGCCTACCACACAAAAAAAGCCCAGGTCCAGATGGGTTCACAGCCGAATTCTACCAGACACACAAAGAGGAGATGGTACCATTCCTTCTGAAACTATTCCAAATGATTCAAAAAGAAGGAATCCTTCCCAAATCATTTTATGAGACCAACATCATCCTGATACCAAAACCTGGCAGAGACTCAACAAGAAAAGAAAACTTCAGGCCAATATCCATGATGAACATAGATGCAGAAATCTTCAATAAAATACTGGCAAACCGACTGCAACAGCACATCAAAAAACTTATCCATCATGATCAAGTAGGATTCATCCCAGGGATGCAAGGCTGGTTCAACATACGCAAGTCTATAAACGTAATTCACCACATAAACAGAACAAAAAACAAAAACCACATGATTATCTCAATTGATGCAAAGAAGGCATTTGACAAAATTCAACAGCCCTTTATGCTAAAAACCCTCAATAAACTCAGTATCGATGGAACGTATCTCAAAGTAATAAAAGCTATTTATGACAAACCAACAGCCAATATCATACTTAATGGGCAAAAACTGGAAGCACTCCCTTTGATATCAGGCACTAGACAAGGATGCCCTCTCTCACCACTCCTATTCAATATAGTACTGGAAGTTCTAGCCAGAGCAATCAGGCAAGAAAAAGAAATAAGGGGTATTCAAAAAAGAAAGGTGGAAGCCAAATTGTCTCTATTTGCAGATGACATGATAGTATATCTAGAAGACCCCATCGCCTCAGCCCAAAAACTCCTGAAACTGATAAGCAACTTCAGCAAAGTCTCAGGATATAAAATCAATGTGCAAAAATCACAAGCATTCCTATACACCAATAACAGACTTAAAGAGAGCCAAATCAAGAATGAACTGCCATTCACAATTGCTACAAAGAGAATAAAATACCTAGGAATACAACTCACAAGGAATGTAAAGGACCTCTTCGAGGAGAACTACAAACCACTGCTCAATGAAATAAGAGAGGACACAAACAGATGGAGAAACATTCCATGCTCAGGGTTAGGAAGAATTAATATAGTGAAAATGGCCATACTGCCCAAAGTGATTTACAGATTTAACGCTATCCCCATCAAACTACCAATGACCTTCTTCACAGAACTGGAAAAAACCACCATGAACTTCACATGGAACCAAAAGAGAGCCCGCATAACCAAGTCAATTCTAAGCAAAAAGAACACAGCAGGAAGCATCACACTACTGGACTTCAAACTATACTACAAGGCTACAGTAATCAAAACAGCATGGTACTGGTACAAAAACAGAGATATAGACCGATGGAACAGAACAGAGGCATCGGAGGCAACACGACATATCTACAACCATACGATCTTTGATAAACCTGACAAAAACAAGCAATGGGAAAAGGATTCCCTGTTTAATAAATGGTGTTGGGAAAACTGGCTAGCCATGTGCAGAAAGCAGAAACTGGAACCCTTCCTGACACCTTACACTAAAATCAACTCCAGATGGATTAAAGACTTAAACATAAGACCTGGCACCATAAAAACCCTAGAAGAAAATCTAGGCAAAACCATTCAGGACAAAGGAGTAGGCAAGGACTTCATGACCAAAACACCAAAAGCATTGGCAACAAATGCCAAAATAGACAAATGGGACCTAATCAAACTCCACAGCTTCTGCACGGCAAAAGAAACAGTCACTAGAGTGAATCGGCAACCAACAGAATGGGTAAAAATTTTTGCAGTTTACCCATCTGACAAAGGGCTGATATCCAGAATTTACAAAGAACTCAAACAGATTTACAGGAAAAAAAACAAACAAGCCCATTCAAAAATGGGCAAAGGATATGAACAGACACTTTACAAAAGAAGACATACATGAGGCCAACAAACATATGAAAAAATGCTCATCATCACTGCTCATTAGAGAGATGCAAATCAAAACCACATTGAGATACCATCTCATGCCAGTTAGAATGGTGATCATTAAAAAATCTGGAGACAACAGATGCTGGAGAGGATGTGGAGAAATAGGAACACTTTTACACTGCTGGTGGGAGTGTAAATTAGTTCGACCATTGTGGAAGACAGTGTGGCGATTCCTCAAGGCCTTAGAAATAGAAATTCCATTTGACCCAGCAATCCCATTACTGGGTATATATCCAAAGGACTATAAATCGTTCTACTATAAGGACACATGCACACGAATGTTCATTGCAGCACTGTTTACAATAGCAAAGACCTGGAACCAACCCAAATGCCCATCGATTATAGACTGGACTGGGAAAATGTGGCACATATACACCATGGAATATTATGCAGCAATCAAAAATGATGAGTTCATGTCCTTTGTAGGGACATGGATGAATCTGGAGAACATCATCCTCAGCAAACTGACACAAGAACAGAAAATGAAATACCACATATTCTGACTCATAGGCTGGTGAGGAAAAATGAGAACACATGGACACAGGGAAGGGGGTACTACACACTGGGGTCTGTTGGGGGAATAGGGGAGGGACAGCCGGGGGGGAGCTGGGGAGGGATAGCCTGGGGAGAAATGCCTAATGTGGGTGAAGGGGCGGAAGGCAGCAAAACACACTGCCATGTGTGTACCTATGCAACTATCTTGCACGTTCTGCACATGTACCCCAAAACCTAAAATGCAATAAAAATATATAAATGAGATAAAGTTAATTTAAATGAGATAATGTGCCTCAGTTGCACCAGGCACATTTCAATCACAGCAGTCATAAGTGGTTTGTTGGTACCACAGGGAATGATTCTATCACCCAGCAAGTTAAACTGAACAACACTAGATTAGATGGCAAGGCTTCAAGGGCACAGGGGACTCCTTGTAACTCATCCATATCTGTGTCTCCAAGGTCTCACACACAGTGGACACTCAATAATTATTAGCGAAAACAAACAAAACTATATTAAAAGACTGGATGGTGGAAAGAGCTCTGCTTCCCATTCTACCTCTAATGCTCTGTGCCCTAGAACAAGCTATTTGGTCTCTCTGGGCTTCAGTTTTCCCAGCTACAAAGACCTGTGTGTACTCTAGGGGTTTAAAGGTCCCTTCTGGCCGTGCACGGTGGTTCACACCTGTAATTCCAGTACTCTGGGAGGCCAAAGCAGGCACATCACCTGAGGTCAAAAGTTCAAGACCAGCCTGGCCAACATGGTGAAACCCTGTCTCTATAAAAATACAAAAATTACCTAGACATGGTGGTGCATGCCTGCCTGTAGACCCAGCTACTCAGGAAGCTGAGGCAGGAGAATGGCTTGAACCCGGGAGGCAGAGGTTGCCATGAGCTAAGATCATGCCTCTGTGTTCCAGCCTGGGAGACAGAGCAAGATTCTGTCTCAAAAAAATAAATTAAAAAATAAAAATAAAGGTCCCTTCAGGTCCTGATATTCAAGGCCAGGATGATGACAGGTAACCTGGTGGTCTGGTGCCCTTCTCCTTCAACTGTGTGCCAAGTACAGTCTGAGACAGAATGGGCCAGCAGTCAAGGGAGCTGTAAGCCCCATAATGGAACAGATTTGTTTGCCTATTTATGGCTATGTCCACCTTGGGTTATAGTGCAGTGCCTGGCACATAGTAGGTACTCAGTAAACATTTGTGGGATGAGTGATTGACCCTAAGCACTGAACCTACAGAGCCCCGAGCGTGGCTCAGGGAGCATGTCCTTTGTCACATGTGGCACAACTTTGTGACACCAGCCCCTGGCAGGATTAGAGCCCTTCACTCTAAGCCAACGGAATCAGCTCGGACCCCACTTGGTGACATTCTGCTGTATTGCTGCCTCATGCCCCAGTCCCAAAGTGACCTTCAAAACCCACCTCCATCACTGCATTGTTCAAAATCCTTCAGTGGCTCTGTGCTCTTCCCAGATAAAATAAAGCTACCTTTTTGTTGCATGTGACGAGGGAGAAGCTATCTTCATTTCTTTTTTTTTTAACCCCAAAACCTAAAACGCAATAAAACATTTATATCTTCATTTCTTTTCCATTTGAGAGCTCATGTTTTGCAGCAGGGAATTTGTAGCCAAAGCTGGTCTGGCCAGGCCCCTAACACAGTGAGGGACCCAGCTTGCGTCCCACACTCACTGCTATGATGTGAATGTTTTGTCTTCTCCGAAATCATGTTGAAACCTAATCCCGAGTGCAGCAGTTTTGGGAGGTGGGGCTCTATCCTCATGAATACATTAATGCCATTATAAAAAGGGCTTGCAAGAGTGGATTCACTCTCATCTGCTCTTGTGCCGTGTGAGGACACGGAGTTCACCCCCTCCTGCCCTTCCACCTTCTGCCATGTGAAGATGCAGTAAGAAGGACCACGCCAGTCACCAGCATATTGATCTTGGACTTCCCAGCCTCTGGAACTGTAAAAGGATACATTTCTGTTCTTCACAAATTGCTCAGTTTCGGGAATTCTGTTACAGCAGCAGAAAATGAACTGAGACACTCAGTCTCACGTTCTTCCTTTTGCTCTCCCATCTGAGCCTCCAAATCCTCCATCCCATGCCCACCAAGTACCCAAGCCATCCCCCCTTGGGCACTGTTTCCCTTGGTATGCATCATGCACCTTGATATAGTTTGGATATTTGTCCCCCAAAAACCTCAAGTTGAAATGTAATCCCCAATGTTGGAGGTGGGGCTGGTGGAAGGTGTTTTTGGGTCATGGGGGTGGAAGCCTTGTGAATGGCTTAGTGCCCTCCCCATGATCATGAGTTACCACAAATTCTGTTTGTTTTAAAAGAGGCTGGCACCTCCTTCCAACTCTCTCTTGCTCCATCTTGTGACATGCCTGCTCCTCCTTCTCCTTCTGCCAGGATTGGAAGCTTCCAGAGGCCCTCCCCAGGGGCAGATGCTGGTGCCAGGCCTCCTGTATAGCCTGCAGAAGTGTAAGCCAAAATAAACCTCTTTTATTCATAAATTACCGGCCTTGGGTATTCCTTTATAGCAATGCAAAATGCACTAACACACACACATCTCATACTATTAATAGGTCATCCAAAGAGCTTCTCCCCTAGGAGACGGGGCACAAGTCCACATACTCAGCAGTTTCCTTGAGGCTGTTGGCTCATCCCTCACCCTTCTGAACCTCTGTTTCCTCATCGGTACAAAGTTCTGAAGTTATTTTCTGGATATCCCTTTCTACGCCCCTTCAAAACTACTGACACTTCTCACACTTCTACACCCTCACCCCACCTCTGGAAATTCTGTTTCAGTATTACTGAACTGCAGGTAAACCCCTGAGCTCACGTCACCTTATGAACCTTCGGGCCTTTGTCCCTCTGCTCCCTCAGCCCAGCACACCATTTCCTTCCCTTCCCCCAACTTTCAAGATTCCACTGAAAGAGCAGTCCCCTAGGAAAATTTTCTTCCACGCTCTCCATCCTCAGGTGGAACTTACCCTACCCTCCTCTTCACCCCAGCCATTTTCCATGCACAAATTACCACCCGTGGCATCCAGAGCACTTTCTTACACATGCTTGCTAATCCAGGAGTCTCTGCCTTCCAGACATCAATCAGGGCCCTCAGAGCAGAATCTTCAGTGTTTTGTCTTTGTAAGGCAAAGAGATAAAACCAGAACAGCTCGGGAGTTGGAGCCCAGTAGCTTCATGTTGAATTCTGGCCCCACCCCACACACATTCTGACCTTAGGAGAAGCATGAATGTCCCTGTGTTCGATCATCACATTACTGGCCCCAGCTCTTTCTTCCCTCCTTTGCCTGTGTTCTTTGCCCTGTGACTTTGCACTTTATCCCGCTAAAGGAGCAGACTCTATTTCCCTGCCCTCTGACTTTGGGTGTGGGCATGACTTGCTTTAGACAATAGAATGAGGAGGAAGTAAGAGGATGCCTGTTTCAAAAGATGTCTTCCAGACTTCAGTCCATTCTCCTGCACTCCTACCTTAAAAAGAATATTCTCAGGCCAGCCTTCTGCTCCCAGAAGGTTCAGAAGCATGTGGAGCTGACCTGCCACAGCTGAGCTTCTCATGAAGAAGTCAGCCTTGATAAACCAGCCGTGAGCCAGCCTGCAAGTGTGTGAGCAAGAGTAAGTGATAGCTGCTGGGAACCACTGGATTTGGGGATGGTTTGTTACTTGGCAATAGCTGACTGATGCACTCTCTTCAGCTCAGTGTTTTCATCTGAGGGATAATGATAAGTTCCTGGAGGGGCTATCATAAGATTAGATTACATTATGAATAAAGCCTAAAACTCAATGTCTGACTCATCATAAGTGCTGACAAATGGCAGCTATTGGTTCTCTGAAAATGTCAACATAGATTTACACTATGAAGTGACCCAGAATGTCCACTTCTAGGTATATACACAGAAGAATTGGAAACAGTCACTCAAACAGATACTTGTACACAAATGTTCATAGCAGTATTATGCATAATAGCTAAAATGTGGAAACTACCCAAGTGTCCATTGACAGATAAATGGGTAAGTAAAATGCAGTATATCCATATGATATAAAAAGAACAGTGTCCTGGTATATGCTACATCATGATTGAACCTTGAAAATACTATGCTCAGTGAAATAAGCCAGACCCTAAAGATAAATACTGTATGATTCCACTTATATGAAATATCTAGAATAGGCAAATTTCCAGAGATAGAATGTAAATTAGACGTTACCAGGGACTAAAGGGTAAGAGAGATGGGGAATTATTGCTTCATGGGTACAGAATTTCTGTTTGGGGTGAAGAAAAAGTTTGGAAATAGGCAGTGGTGAGGGTTGCACAACATCGTGAATGTAATTGAAGCCACTATATTGTGCGCTTAAAAACGGTTAAAAAGGTGGCACTCCTGTTATATGTATTTTACTCCATTTTTAAAATGGTGGTTAGGTATTCAAGACAATCCTGGGCAACATAGAAAGACCCTGTCTCTACAAAAGACAAACAAAAATAGCCGAGTATAGAGATTTGTCGCTAATCCTGACTACTTGGGAGGCTGAGGTGGGAGGGCTGCTTGAGCCTGGGAGTCCCAGCCTGCAGTAAGCCATAATTAAGCCAAAAATAAGTAAGCCACTGCACTCCAGCCTGGGTGACAGAGCGAGACCCTGACTCAAAAGAAAAAGGCAGTTATTGGCCAGGCACGGTGGCTCACGCCTGTAATCCCAGCACTTTGGGAGGCCGAGGCAGGTGGATCACGAGGTCAAGAGATCGAGACCATCCTGGTCAACATGGTGAAACCCCGTCTCTACTAAAAATACCAAAAAATTAGCTGGGCATGGTGGCGCGTGCCTGTAGTCCCAGCTACTCAGGAGGCTGAGGCAGGAGAATTGCCTGAACCCAGGAGGCGGAGGTTGCGGTGAGCCAAGATCGCACCATTGCACTCCAGCCTGGGTAACAAGAGCGAAACTCAGTTTCAAAGAAAAAAAAAAAGAAAGAAAGAAAAACGCAGTTATTGTATTTATATTTTCAGCAACTGTGCATAGTAAATGCTGACTAAAAAGTCTGTTGAATATTGTTGGAATAAATAAGATAGCCATTGGATGGATAGAGGCACAAATAACCACAGAGATAAATAAATGAATCAGTTAATGGTGAGTGAGTGAAGAAACCATGTAAGCTCTTTACCATGGCCACCTATTTAGAAGATGTACAACAGCCGGGATATGGGGCCCTACAGTCTCATGCAGAATTAACTATATCGAGAGCAGTAAATATAAAAATCACACAACGTTGAAAAGGCAACCTAGGGGAGTCATGCAGGCCTGCAGATCCAGAAGGGCAGAAAACAGGTCTGGGATGACTGCACATAAGAACAGTGGCCCAGCAGGGGACACCAGAGGCTCTCACCGTGGAAAGAAACACATGTTTGCTACAGTGAGTAGCAACTCCGGCTGGTGGAAATGGAGAGCGGGCTCCAGATACAGCGCTGCTACCTGCAGGGTAACATGTTACCAGCTTGATGTTGTCCCTAGGGGAGCCCGGTGAAAACCCAGGTTCTAGAAACCAGAAACAGTGATGATCGATAGAAACCCTTGCACAAGCACAACACTTTAAAATGTATCTCACACCAGTTAGAATGGCGATCATTAAAAAATCTGGAGACAACAGATGCTGGAGAGGATGTGGAGAAATAGGAACACTTTTACACTGCTGGTGGGAGTGTAAATTAGTTCAACCATTGTGGAAGACAGTGTGGCGATTCCTCAAAGAACTAGAAATAGAAATTCCATTTGACCCAGCAATCCCATTACTGGGTATATATCCAAAGGACTATAAATCGTTCGACTATAAGGACACATGTACACGAATGTTCATTGCAGCACTGTTTACAATAGCAAAGACCTGAAACCAACCCAAATGCCCATCGATGATAGACTGGACTGGAAAAATGTGGCACATATACACCATGGAATATTATGCAGCCATCAAAAACGATGAGTTCCTGTCCTTTGTAGGGATATGGATGGATCTGGGGAACAACATTCTCAGCAAACTGACACAAGAACAGAAAATGAAATACCACATATTCTCACTCATAGGCGGGTGATGAACAATGAGAACACACGGACACAGGGAGGGGAGCACTACACACTGGGGTCTATTGGGGGGAATAGGGGAGGGACAGTGGAGGGGGGAGCTGGGGAGGGATAGCATGGGGAGAAATGCCAGATGTGGGTGAAGGGGAGGAAGACAGCAAATCACACTGCCACGTGTGTACCTGTGCAACTATCTTGCATGTTCTGTACATGTACCCCAAAACCTAAAATGCAATAAAAAAAAAAAAAATATATATATAGTAGAGCATTGTTAAAAAAAAAAAAATGTAGACACCACTTTCCTGAGGATCAGTTGACTCCATCCTCACAACCATCTCGTGCAGGTTTATCTTGCTACTATTTCTTTTTCTTTTTTTACATCTGGTAATCAATGTATTAAAATAGTTGACTTAAATACCTGCAATGGTGACTCCTACCTCAACTCCTGGCTCAATACCGATGGAAGTCATCTGCTTAACAATCTCAGAAGGACTGCGCGAGTCAGTGAGGCACTCGTGGATTCTCATCTGGAAACGATCCCGTGTCTCAACGGTTAGATGAAGAACATAAGGCTTACGTGCGTGACGGAATAGGTCCAAGGTTACCCTAGCACACAAGAGGCAGGGAGCCACCTCCCAGGGACCCGCTTTACTGGTTCCATTGAGAGCCTCATTGGCTCCATTCCTGCCCAGTGAGTGCAAACAAGGCAGGGGTGGAACTTGAACCTGGGCCCATTCACCCCCGCATCCTATCTCCTTCAAACACACCCTACAAGAAAAACTTCCAGCGGCACTATGGTCTGAATGTGTGTCTCCTCCAAAACGCCTGTTGAAATTAGACTGCTATTGGAACGGTAGTGAGAGACGGAATCTCTGGGAGGTGAATGGCAGAACCCTCAAGAGTGGGATTGATGCCATTATAAAGGACAAGTTTGGCCCCCTTTTGCCTCTTTTATGCCTTCTGCCATGTGAAGATAAAGTGTTTCCCCCTCACCTTTGGAGGATGCAGCATTCCAGGCACCATCCCCGGAATCAGAATCTCTTGCCTTTGCACTGCCCAGCCTCCAGAGCTGTGAGCAATAAATTTTTGCATGTAAATTACTCAGTCTCAGGTATTCTCTGATAGCAGCTCAAACAGGCTAGGACACATGGGGAAAAACACAAATCTCTCCCCTGGTGAGGTGATCTCAGATTTGAATCACAGCTTTGGTTACTGGCTAGTTCTCCAGTTTGGGGAAACTCACTTGAATCTGTGTTCTGATCTGTAGAATGGGAATAAACAAACCTGCATTATCATATCTTCCGAAGGACGGGAAGTAACGCATGCAAGAGCGTTTAGCACAGCACCCATCCCAATAACAGGAGCTCAGTGCAGTCAGGAGCACCCTTATTTGTCGCCTCTTCTCTCTGTTCTTTTCCACCCTTACCCTCCCATCTTCACTCCCCTTCTTGCATTTCTTCCTGGATTCTCTCTCTCATCTCTCATTTTTCTTGTCTCCTCAGGGAACACATCCTCCCCATAAACCTACACTTCCCGCATTCTTCCATCTGGTTCCTCAAAAACCAGCAGGCCCCTGTCCTAGGGAATAGCAGGTAGGTGGGAAGTGTTGAGTAACTGCTTTCCACAGGTTTGGGCCCCCTGGCCTGTCCATCCCCGCCTTCTGCTCCACAGGCGCCATGCCCTTGATCACATTGCCTTCTATCTTACATTCCTGACTTTATATGTACTTTGAATAATAGCGCTCCCCACCTTGGTGAGGCCACAAATTATCACTATCAATCTCCAGGCGAGATTCAATGTTGTCAACAGCTGCTTTCTTGCATAGATTTGGAGGATCCTAAGCTGAGGGGAAATGGATGGAGGAGGACCGGGGTGCATGCTGATACCCAAGCCACAGGCAGGCTCTACAGAAGCCAGCACAGCAGAGCAGGAGACTCAGGAGCATGCTCTGAAGATGGTCACCTGAAACGAGTCCCAGCCATGCCTCTTCTCATTCGTGTGACCTCAGAAAGGGGCATCACCTCTCTGGGTCTTAATCTTTTCTTCCCCTAATGAGATAACATAGAGCCAGATGAGAAAAATGAGCATGGAGCCTGAGCAGAAGGAGAGCTTAAAGCAATGATGAGAATGAAGAAAAGCATCATTTCTCAAAGTCCATGGACCTGGGCCTGAGCCACGCACATACTTCCTTCCAAGCCCTATATATCTCTCCAGAGTCATGCATTTGGGGGAACACATAGAGAATGCTAAGCAATTCCTCCAGGGGGACAGGGCTCTCTGGCCCCAGATGCTGGGGCACATCTGGAATACCCATTCCCCCCCCTCCCATCCCACCAACTCCAATCTCCCAAGCTAGGCCCTGCTGGGTCCCAAGCCCACCCTTTGACAGCCAAGTAGAGTTGCCCCTCAATGAAATGCAGTGAACGGTGGCCCCTCAGCGCCATCAGCTTCCCAACTTAACAGACACCCCACCACTTCCTTCTTTAGAAATTCTGATTGTCCCTTCACAGATTATCATAAAACCGTGCTAGAAGGTCTCCTTCCAACACCTGCAGAGATGATGCACCCAAAACGTCCATGAGCCAACATTATAGGGAAACAACCCCAAAGGGGAAAGTCCCCTCAAAGACCTACATGTCACTCTTCACTCAGCACCTCATCTCTCTAGAATCCTAAAAATTTGGAGACAAAAGAAATCCTGCAGTTCACGTGCTCCACAAGGTAGGCAAATGGACCAGGACAGGGCATTCAGCAGGGAAGCTTTACGGAGCACTCTCTGCGTACCTGTAGCATGCGCTGCACCAGCCAACTCAGGTGCATCCTCTCATTTCATCCTCACACATCTGTGAGGCAGGGCTGCTGCTAATCCCACGGCACTGGAGGAAACATGCTCAGGATGGTGGGGCCGCTCCCACCGGTGGGAAAGTCTAGAGTCACACAGATACGAGAAGAGCCTGGATCTGCCTGGCTTCAAAACAGGTGGTGAGCTCCCCATTACTGGAGGCATCCAAGATCTGCAGAGGGAATTCAAGTATTCAGGAAGCGGGAGACTCCAAATGCCCCATGGATAGGCTCCATCTTAAGAGGGTTTCTCAGTATTGGTGCTGTGGAGATTGTGGACTGGATAATTCACTGTGGTAGAGAGGACTGTCCTGTACATTCACTGTGGTAGAGAGGACTGTCCTGTACATTCACTGTGGTAGAGAGGACTGTCCTGTACATTCACTGTGGTAGAGAAGACTGTCCTGTACATTCACTGTGGTAGAGAAGACTGTCCTGTACATTGCAGGGTGTTGGGCGGCATCCCTGACCTCTGTCCAGCACATGCTGTAGCCCCTGCTCAATCACAAAAACATCTCAAGATATTGCCAAAGGTCCCCTGGGACGAGGGGGACAAAATGACCACTTGAGAACCACTGTTCCATAAGGATTTTTGGAAAAGCCAGCAGACATCCACGGAAAGCAGCGCTGACAATGCAGAGAGAAGTTTTACACCCCTGCGGTAGCTTCTTGGGGGCAGCTGTGCACCGCAGCAGCCTTATATCATGGCAGAGGTGCCGTATATCTGCTCCTCCGTCAGCATCCCAAAGGGCCGGGAGGAATACTCCTGCACATTTAGAAAAGAAAGAGAGAGGAGACCCATGACCCAAAAATACGACATTAGAACTGAGGCGCAATTTGAGCTAAATGCAATAAGACTTTCCCATCAGTACCAGACCACCAAGCTCTACCCAACCCACTGATAACTCTGAGCTGCCAGGAGACCTCAGTAAGCCTCGATATATTTTAGCCTTGATTTAAAATGGAAGAATCTGTGTAGGTCAGACCTGGAAAGACCCTTAGAAAGTAGAGATCAGCTCTCTGTTCCTGTGTGGTGGCGGGGGGTGGGGGGTGCTGGCCATGTGTGATGGGCACCTTTTTGTGCCCCCCACAATCCCCAGATTGCCTCTACACCCTTCTCCCCATGTGGACTTCCACCGACTGTCTTGCCCGCCACCTTCTGATTTGGTTCTGCCAACTGGAGCCCCAGAAAAAAATCAGGGGAGGGGAAATGGAGTCAGGGTACTTATTCCCCCTGCTCCTGCCTGCCAGGGTCTCCAAGGATTGGCTGCACCCCTTTGCTGAAGGTCTCAGACAAGGACCTTGCCTCACTGGGGACTCTCTCCCCGACACTCTTAATCTTCCCTCATCTGGCCTAGGAGTGATGATGGCACTAGACCCCAGTTACACCCTCCTGTGTGGGTTCCCCACACCCTGCCCACACCTTTGAAAACAATTCCTTTACTAAGCTCTCCTCAAATCATCCCAATTATATATGTGTTGTGTGTTTCCTGCTGGGCCCTGACTGATAGATAAACCATGTGGTTCTCTGTTCAAACAAAATAGCATGCAAAAACTCAGCAGCTAGAACACAGCAGAGCAGACCTCCTACTTCCATTCATGTGGATTTCTTAAGCATCAGCCCTTAGCCAGAAGCTCTGGCCTGGGGCGGAGGACACACTAGTGAGTGAGAACAATGAGGTCCTTACTGGCTGGAGTGTACAGTCTTGCAGGTGGCAAAGGTGGGGCAGGCAGCCTGAACTCCTTGGTCCCCAACCCTGTCTTCATGGGCTCTGTATAATAACCACAGAAGGTCACGTCAATGCCTGTGACCCAGTTCCCTTGTCCTACTCCCATTTTACAGATGGAAAAACTGGGGCCAAGAAAAGGAAAGGGCATTGCCAAATATTTAAGACAGTCTACCTTCTGGAAGTTAATTCCACAATAGGAATCCTGCCTTCTTAGTTTGGAGTGATGGCTGATATTTAGTGAGTTGTCACAGTGTGCCAGACCCTGGGCTACCTACGTGTCACAGTTTAATCCCCTAATGACTCTCTGAAGGAGTGTCATCCCTACTTTATAGACAAAGCTTAGAGAGATGAAGTGACTTGTCCAGAGTCACAGAGCGGGCTACAGCTGGGGCTGGATGGAACCCAGGCAATCTGTGGAGAAGGGAGAGGGGCTGTGAAAAAATGTCACCCTCAGAAAAGCATCTGAGTGTGTGGTTTTTTAATCTCTTGCAACCATAAGGAAAATTCTTGGTGGCTAAATCATCCCCTGAGACAGGGTAAGAGAGGGCAGAGGCGTCCTAGATCCTTCAGGTATTGGCTTCATTTCAGAACATTCTTGGCTGGAATGAAAACGGCACAGGAGCCAGGGTCAGTCTGGGTCACAGGGAGGGCTCAGGATGGACATGAGAGGCCCTGAGAGTGCCCCCCACACACCCCAGCTTAAAATATCTCCATCAACGTCTCAGCACCCTGCCACGATGCTTGAAATGCCACTCTAAGAGTCACTTTAGCGCAGAGCACGACATGCACTTCTCAAAGGAACACACAATATGGGCACAAATTACCCGGATGCAGTGACACATTAAGGGAAGGGAAGAAATGACTGGGAGTTTTTGAGCACCTACTAAGTGCTTTCTGTAGGGGAGATTCAGTAAATGGTAGTTTAATATCACATGGATGGTGGCCAGGCTGTAATCCCAACACTTTGGGAGGCCAAGGAGGGCAGATCACATGGTCAGGAGTTCAAGACCAGCCTGCCCAATATGGTGAAACCCTGTCTCTACTAAGAATAAAAAACTTAGCTGGGCGTGGTGGCATGTGCCTGCAGTCCCAGCTACCCGGGAGGCTGAGGCAGAGGAATTGCTGGAACTTGGGAGGTGGAGGTTGCGGTGAGCTGAGATCGCGCCTCTGCACTCCAGCCTGGCGACAGAGCGAGACTCTTTATAAAAAAAAAAAAATTACATGGGTCGTATCTATGGAATATATCTTATTCTCACAGCAGGGCAGTGAAGAGGGCATTGCTAGCTTCATATTTATAAATGCCAAGCTCAGAGTGGTTTTAAGTGACTTGCTCGAGGTCACACAGCTGATGTGGTGCAGAGCTAGGCTGGAGCTTTCATGTCAAACCTGCCTACTTTCCACCACACGTGCTTTCACCCAAGCTCTAGAAACTGACTTTAAGGGGTTCCAATGGGCTAGGGACAGAAAACAGGGATGCTTGAGGGGCAGTGCTAATCTCGGGGGCACCATGATGTCCCTGGGTCTGTCTCCCCATGGTAAGAATTAGCTATGTGACCTTCCCTGAGCCGGACTTCAGTTCCTTTTCAGGTACAAAAAAAAGCTGCATTTGACACCCCCCTTATCTTCCTTCCATTTCTGAAATTCTGGGCACTACAAATTTTCGGATAGCACGTAAATCTGCATAGACTAATTTATGTAAATTCACCTTGGTCCCTAGCAGGGTTCAACCCAACTGAATACTTTCAGGTACTTTCAAAAGGCAAAAAGGTCAGGTGCAGTGGCTCACACCTATAATCCTAGGATCTGGGAGGCCAAGGCCGGTGGATCACTTGAGCCCAGAAGTTGGAGACCAGCAAAACAGTGAAAAGCCCATCTCTACAAAAAATAGAAAAAATTAGCTGGGCATGGTGGCGTGCACTTGTCAATCCAGGTGCTGAGTGGGGAGGATGGCTTGAACCCGGAGACTGAGGCTGCAGTGAACCACAATGGTGCCACTGCACTCCAGGCTGGGTGACAGAGCGAGACCCTGTCTCAATAAAAAATAGGTATATATTTAATGGGTGCAGAAGAAAGAGGCCCCCACCTCCCATCCCTGCCTGTTCCCTACCTATGTCTCCGAGCAGGGCACTCAGATCATGGGTCTTTTTCCTTAGGATGAAGAGGTAGGAAAACAGGCAAGACGGGAGCAGCCTCTCTCAGACTGTGATGTGGACAGCTGCAGCTGGTTACCTGGAGTTATCTGCTGCATGGGGGATGTGAACTGGGTCCCAGACAGGGTTCCCAGCATTCCCATGATGCCCCAAGCCCTACCCAAGTAGAACTCGCAGACCCTCTCCTGTCTTTGCACTCCTGCACCCTGAGGTTGTTAGAAGCAGCTTATCGTAGACAGTAAAATTAAAAATAAAATGTTAAAAAAAAAAAAAAAAGGCAACATCTCTTCTCTAAACAATCAGTTCTTGGCTGGGACCCCTCAATGATCTCTCATTATGCTTGGCTCACCATGCTATGTTACTTACAGAGGCCAGCTGGTATTTCTGAAGAATTAAAACACTCCTCCAGCCAGTCTCACTCACAATATGATGTACACATGGTCTCCCATCATACGCTTTGAACCATAACCTCCTCAATATCCCAATTCAAGGGGGTCAGTGTAACTCGGATGGCTCCAGTTCCAGACAGGGTCATGAGACAGTGGTCTCTGGAAAATTCCTCCCACATGGGCTGTCTGTCAGAGAATCACAAAAAGGTATTTTTTAAAACATTAACCCCCACGATGATTTGAGCCTACAGCATCCAAGAAGGGATAAATCAGCTGCACAAAGAACTTTAAACTAGGCACAGTGGTGCACATCTGTAGTCCCAGCTACTCGGGGGCTGAGGCCGGAGGATCACTCGAGGTCAGGGGTTGAGGCTGCAACGAGCCATGATGGCACTTGTGAATCGCCGCGGCATTCCAGCCTGGGCAACAGTGCGAGAGTCTGTCTCTTAAAGGAAATACTAATGATTCATTTCGAAAAATTAGAAATGAATAAGAACTTTGATCAACCTTGAAACTATAGGACTTGGTAGATAAGTGAGGGAAGGGAGGGCATACCTGGGAAGAAACAGTAGAAGCAAAGACTTCCAGATACGACCAAGATGGAGCTGGTGGTTGGCAGAATAGTGAGGAAGAAGAGCAGCCAACCCACAGGAAAAGGAAATGGCCCTTTCAGGACTAATGGAAAATGAGGGGGGTTGGTTTGGTTTTGTTTGAGACAGAGTCTCACTCTGTCGCCCAGGCTAGAGTGCTAGGCACAATCATAGTTCACTATAGCCTCAAACTTCTGGGCTCAAGTGATCCTCCCACCTCAGCCTCCCTAGTAGCTGGGACTACCAGCCCAGCCCACTCCACCATGCCCAGCTAATTTTTATTTTTTGTAGAGACAGGGTCTTGCTATGTTGCCCAGGCTGGTCTCAAACTCCTGGGCTCCAGCAATCTTCCCGCCTCAGCCTCCCAAAGTGCTGGGATTATAGGTGTGAGCCACTGCAGCCAGCCAGAAATAAGTTTTAATAGATGGAGTGGGGTAAGATTGCAAAGCCTTTGGAGCGCAGACAGGTGAAGTTTATAGTTAATATAATAGGCAGGAGAGAGCCTCGGAAGGCGTTTGACCAGGGAAATACTCAAGCAAGATAGAGTATTTCATCATTATTCAGGGGTTCTGTTTTTGCAAATTCACCTACTTGGTCAAATTTATTGCTAAACCCCAAATCAATACCCACAACCCTTTCATGAGCACTGGCAGGGTAGTGAAACAGGCAAGTCGCTGACACATGTGTTTTCAGCTCTGGCTGGGCAAGGCTCTCTTATTTCAGCTCTCATACTGTTAACTGGTCCTTTTCACAGCCTATTTAGTTCCGTCTCTTTCACGTTTCGGTGTGTTCTTGCTTTTGGTGGTTTTGCTCTTTAAAGGGGCACGGTGTTGAAGGGGTGTTTCGTGTTCCAAAGCATAAGAAAGTTGTGATGCGCCTTAGAGAGAAAATACATGTGTTCAGTTAGCTTCACTCAGGCATGAGTTACTGTGCTTCTGGCCGTGAGTTCAACATGTAATAACCCAACCATAAATAATAAATAAGGTGTCTTTAAACAGAGACACACGCAAAACTCGGTTACGTATTGATTGGTTGACAATCTAGAAGCAATGGGTCAGTTTTCACTGATTCGATGCTTGCGGCAACTTTATGAGCATAACTAGCATGAATAATGATAATCGCTTCTATGAAGACCACAGGACCATCAAAAGAAACCATCTCTTAAGAGAGTATATGCTCAGGAGCCAAACTACCTGGGTTCAAATCCCGGCTCTTCCATTTACCAGCTGCGCCGCCTTCGGTGAGTTGCTTAGCTTCTCTGTGCCACAGTATCTCATTTGTAAAACAGAGACGATGGCTGTATCTGTATCACAGGGTGACTAGGAGAATTTAAATGTGTTCATGTCTGTCAAGTTCTCAGAAGACTATCTGGCACATAATGAACACTATTTACACGTTTTGTGTTTGTTAAATAAATAAAAGGGATAAGGTAAGAGAAAAAGAGAGCGTACACCTCATTTTGCAGGTGAGGAACGTGAGTCAGGCCCACATCTGAGTCTTCCCAGCGACAAAATGGGGAGGAAGCTGGCTCTGGGGAGCCCAGGTCAAAGTCAATTCAATGACTAGGATACAAAATTGACATAAGGTGGCAATGACAGCCACAGATACAGGAGCTAACCCATAGTGCTGAGCAAAGGCACGGTGTGACTGAGGGACCCGCCAAGGCTCACCCACCTGTGACAAGCAAGGGCCACTTCCTCATGCTCCCCCTTTCCAAGCCACAGCCAGATGGAACCCAGAGTGCTCTAAAGATGCACCTCTCCACCTCACCATTTAAGAATTACTAGGCATTCCAGGCGGTGCAGCTGAGGAGCAAGAAATACTACTGCGTCCCGGCAGAAAGCTAATGAGAAACCGAACACAGCCAGACAGAAGCTTAACAAGAAATACTGGTCCGGGCTCCCCAGAAGAAGAGCGGGCTCCGGAGGCCTGGCAGGCCGCCTATCTCCCCACATGCATTGATCGGTGCAGGGCAAGCTGGAGAGCTCGTGAAAGGAGATAAACGAGAAGATGTACGACAGGAGGGGCCCAGGGCTGATGAAAGGGGAAGGGAAGGTGGCTTAAATCAAAGGGCAAGTGCTGCGAGAGAGGAAGATAACAGGATTTGTGTTTACGGTTAACGAGGAGAATTGGTGGAGGCACTGCTCTGGGGCAGGGGAGGATGGGTGAAGACTTAGGGAGGAAGAGGAAGAGGGGCCCCAGAGAGGGTACCCCATGCTCCAAGCAAATCAGTAACGTGAGCTAGGGGTAAGTCCCTGAAATGGTAAATCCTTCCTGGGTCACGTGGATGGGCCTGCAATTGCCTTTTATGTCCTCTCCTTCATTTCCTAACTTTCCTGGATTCCCAGGAAAGAATATCCACCTCTGCCCCATTCTCCCACCAGCAAGTTATCAGAATGCAAAGCCCGTGTCTTGACAACAGGGACACCAGGGAAGGCTCACCCAGCACCTTTGTGCTTCTGGCTGTGCTGAGAGCTTCCTATGTCTTTTTTTATTTTGAGATGGAGTCTCACTCTGTTGCCCAGTATGGAGTATAGTGGCGCAGTCTCAGCTCACTGCAACCTCCGCCTCCCAGGTTCAAGTGATTCTCCTGCCTTAGCTGCCCCAGTAGCTGGGATTACAGGCACATGCCACTATGCCCAGCTAAATTTTGTAGTTTTAGTAGAGACAGGCTTTCACCTTGTTGGTCAGGCTGGTCTGGAACACCTGACCTCGTGATCCACCCTCCTTGGCCTCCCAAAGTGCTGGGACTACAGGTGTGAGCCACCATGCCCAGCTGCTTCCTGTGTCTTACTCCAACCAATATTCATTCTAGGATGGAGGCACTGTGGTCGTTCTCAATGCACAGATAAGGACACGGAAATTCAGAGAGGCACTCCAGCAGCATGGAGCAGTGCTGACATTCGAACCCAGGCAGTCTGCCCCCACAGCCCACTTTTTCCAACCATGATTCCACACTGAGCCTGCTAACACCCTCAGCACAGATGCCTAATGGGAGACTGTCTGCATTTCACCCCCGAGAACCACCTCTGATCTCTGCATCGCCATGGCACACAGTTCCACACAGGCTACTACTAATTCTCATGGCAAAAGCAGCCAGAAAACTGCTCCACTTCTCTGCCTTAGGGTCTTCTCCAAAGATGCAGAAGCAGTTCAGTTCTCCACCAGGTGCAGCCAACAAGTTCAAGGCATTCACAGCCCCAGGGATGGCCCATCCCTCAGGGGGGCAATTCTGAGGCACATTCTGCAAGGCTCCTCAGAGGATGTCTTGCAGGATAGAGCCCCAGTTTCCCCCGGTGATAACCAGCTACACATGCCCCCATAGGGTGGTGGCCTGCTTTCCTTCTTCATCTCCCCTCTCCCTCACTCTTGCTTCCTGCATCTCCTTCCAACCACACCTCCTATATCCAAGCCCTCCTCTCAGGCTCTGCTTTGCAGGGATCACAAACTAAGACAGGACACCACCTAACTTAAATATAAGAACCGCAAAAAATAGGACCAGTCAAACAAAGACAAACTTTGGGGAGATTGCATGATAAGATGAAAAGGAGCCTCCCTCCCCCTCCCCCTCCCCCTCCCCCTCTCCCTCTCCCTCTCTCTCTGGTTTTACAAACATCTCTTTTAATGACTGAGCAAGATATTTCCCTGTTTTGTACACATTTCTATTAAGAATAGAATACAGCATTAAGACCAAGTATAGCAGCTCATGCCTGTAATCCCAGCACTTTGGGAGGCCAAGGTGGGTGGATCACTTGAGGTCAGGAGTTCGAGACCAGCCTGACCAACATGGTGGAACCAAACCCCATCTCTACTTTAAAAATGCAACAATTAGTTGGGTGTGGTGGTGCATGCCTGTAATCCCAGCTACTAGGGGAGGCTGAGACAGGAGAATCACTTGAACCTGGGAAGTGGAGGTTACAGTGAGCCAAGATCACACCACTGCACTCCAGCCTGGGTGACAGAGTGAGACCTCATCAAAAATAAAAATAAATAAAAGAATATAGCATTAAAGTGGAGGTATTGGGGCCTCTATTGAGGCAGTCTGAATTTATATATAATTTAGAATAGGATAAAATAGAGTGATAATTTTAACTTCACTTTTTTACAATGATATGGCTTCTCTTATTCTCTCCACTTTTCCTCTTCAATCTAGAAATTCAGAACTTTAGTCAACACCTTTCCCATACCCAGAGAAGTGCTGGGGGGAAATGTGTCTGTCTTTCTTTGCACCCTTGACCTTTTCCTAATTCTGCTGATGACAGCCTGGCTTCTGTGAGCCATGACATCCAGTGCGTAGCATCGCCAGTCCTCAAAAGCTAGAAACCACCTCCATGATCACTGGGTCACTCTTGCTCCTTTGGGCACAGGGGGCACAGGGGCCACAGCTCAAAGGACTCAGGCTCCTGCTTTCCTCACTGTAAGCCTTCTAAGAGGCATCTTCATGGAGAGGAGCCAGGTACCTCCAGCTTCTCGGCTGCCACATGGTGGTAAATTCCATTTGTGAGGCAAGTGGTGGGAAGTAGCTTGCAGAAGAGTGGAGACAGAAGCTTCAGAATGCAGGACAGAGGGTTTTCATAGCCCTGGGAACTCTCCCGGAGTCTCCCTTGATGCCCAAGACAACTGTGTAATGGAGCTTGTGACTCAAAGTCACAATGACCAGCATTCATCATGGGACAACTGATGGGGTTGGCTGAGACTGCAGCCCCCTCCCCAGAGCCCTTCTGCCCCTTGGCTTTCCTCCACCCACTGTCTACACCTCCCTGCTCACCCATACTGCTTTCCAGATCTGTGCCTTGGAAGACAATCTCAGTCTGTACTGGGAGCCTTGGTGGCTGCACCAAGGGGAGAAGTGGCAGGGGGAGGGTGGTTCTTGGTGCAATGGAGGTTGCCATCTGGGCACAGAGGCAGGTCCCCTGTGCCCTTGGGCATCCAATCGATTTATAAAAGGTGTCAGCTTCGTTTTCACTGCTGTGTACTCCATTGGCTATCCCATTCACATTTAAAAGCACCTACTATGTGTTAGGCACACATACTGAGGAAGCCAAAGATGTGGCTGTCAACCAGAGAGGCCCTTGATTTCGAAGACACCGTGCTCTAGCCCAGGGCTTCCCAAACTTGACTATGCATCCACTTAACTAGTGAGGTATTATGATAAAGCACAGATTCTGACTCTGTCGTGAAATGGAGTCCAAGGTTCTGCATTTTTTTTTTTTTTTTTTTTGAGATGGAGTCTTGCCCTGTCACCCAGGCTGGAGTGCTGTGGTGCGATCTCGGATCACTACCAACCCCCACTTCCTGGGTTCAGGCTCCCTGAGTGGCTGGAATTTCAGGTGCACGTCACCACACCTAGCTAATTTTTTGTATTTTTAGGAGAGGCGGGGTTTCACCATATTGGTCAGGCTGGTCTCGAACTCCTTACCTCAGGTGACCCACCTGCCTCAGCCTCCCAAATTGCTGGAATTACAGGTGTGAGCAACCATGCATGGCCGAGATTCTGCATTTCTAATCAGCTTCCAGAAAGTGCTGATGGGCTGCTCTGTGGAACATATATGTAATAGTCACGGGGTGGAGCACTGGACCTCATGATCCTGGGCAAGTGACATAACCCCCAGGAGACTGAATTTCCCCTTCTCGTCATTGGAGGCAATAGTGCCTACTTCATTAAGTGTCCATGAAGATCAAGTGGGCTAGATGAGGGGCCTAGAAGAGAGGCTGGCACACAGTAGGTGCTTTATAAATACCTATCCCTTCTCCCTTTAAATGCCTTAGCAGAAAGTGGGAGGACCCAGGATATGGGGGCACAATGGCAAACAGACACCAAGAGCCCAGAAATGTGAAGCTGTGGCAGCCGGGCATGGTGGTTCATAGCTGCTTTATTCATAGTAGGCAAAACCCACTAATGACTCAGATGTTCATCAGCAGGAGAACAGATAAACTGAGGTTTATCCACAGTATTCAGCAATAAAAAAAGAAATGAGTAGTTGGGCATGGTGGCTCAAGCTCTTAGTCTCAACACTTTGGGAGGCCAAGGTAGAAGGCTTGCTTGAGCCCAGGAGTTCAGGACCAGCATAGGTAACATGGTGAAACCCTGTCTCTACAAAAAAAAGTACAAAAATTAGCAAGGCACGGTGGCATGTGCCTATAGTCCCAGCTATTTGGGAGGCTGAGGTGGGAAAATGGCTTGAGCCAGGGAGGTTGAGGCTGCAGTGAACCGAGATCATGCCACTGCACTCCAGCCTGGGCAACAGAGTGAGACTCTGTCTCAAAAAAAAAAAACAGGCAGGGAGGGGGATAAGCTACTGATATACATTACAGCATGAAGAAATCTCTGGAGCATTATACTGGGTAAAAACACCAAATGGAAAGGGTACATGCTGCGTATGATTTCATTTACAAAAAGTTCTTGAAAAAGAAAAACTAACCTAAAGTAATAGAAATCAGATCAGTGGTTGCTTCTGGGTATGAAGGAATCACCTGAGAAGGGGTATGATGAAGTTTTCTGTGGTACTTCCTGCTTCTCAATAGAGATGTGGGTTGCACAAGCGTATGCCTTTATCAAACTGATGTAACTGTGTACTTAGCATTAAGAATTTCACTGAATATAAAGGACAATATAAAAACTAACTCAAGATGGATTAAAGACTTAAATGTAAAACCCAAAACTATAAAAACCCTGGAAGACAACCTAGGCAATACCATTCAGGACACAGGAATGGTAAACGATTTTATGACAAAGATGCCAAAATCAATTGCAACAAAAGCAAAATCTGACAAATGGGATCTAATTAATCTAAAGAGCTTCTGCACAGCAAAGGAAACTATCAGCAGAGTAAACAGACAACCTACAGAGTGGGAGAAAACTTCTGCAAACTATGCATCTGACGAAGGTCTAATATTCAGCATCAATAAGGAACTTAACCCAGTTTACAAGAAATAACCCCATTAAAAAGTAGACAAAGGACATGAACAGACAGTTTTCAAAAGAAGACATACATGTGGACAACAAGCATATAAAAAAACAAACCTCGACATCACTGATCATTAGAGAAATGCAAATCCAAACCACAGTGAGATATCATTTCACACCAGTCAGAATACCTATTAAAAAGTCAAAAAAAGGCTAGGCGCGGTGGCTCACGCCTATAATCCCAGCACTTTGGGAGGCCGAGGTGGGTGGATCACGAGTTCAAGAGATGGAGACCATCCTGGTCAACATGGTAAAACCCCGTCTCTACTAAAAATACAAAAAATTAGCTGGGCGCCTGTAGTCCCAGCTACTCGGGAGGCTGAGGCAGGAGAATTGCCTGAACCCAGGAGGCAGAGGTTGCGGTGAGCCGAGATTGCACCATTGCACTCCAGCCTGGGTAACAAGAGCGAGACGCCATCTCAAAAAAAAAAAAAAAAAAAAGTCAAAAAAATAACAGGTGCTAGCAAGGCTACTGAGAAAAGCAAATGCTCATGCACCGCTGCTAGGAGTGTAAATTAGTTCAACCATTGTGGAAAACAGTATGGTGATTCTTCAAAGACCTAAAACAGAACTACCATTCAACCTAGCCATCCTATTGATTACTGGGTAGATACCCAAAGGAATATAAATTGCTCTATCATAAAGACACATGCACACATATATTCACTGCAGCACTATTCACAATAGCAAAGACATAGAACCAACCTAAACGCCCATCAGTGACGGATGGGATAAAGAAAATATGGTACATATACTCTGTGGAATACTATGCAGCCATAAAAAATGAGATTATATCCTCTGCAGGAACATGGGTGGAGCTGGGGGCCACTATCCTTACCACACTAATGCAGAAACAGCAGACAAAATTCCAAGTTCTCACTTGTAGGTGGGAACTAAGTGATGAGAACACATGGACATATAAGGGGAACAACACACACTAAGGCCTATCGGAGGGTGGAAAGTGAGAAGAGGGAGAGGGCCAGGAAAAAATGACTAATGGATACTAGGCTTAACACCTGGGAGATAAAATAATCTGTACAACAAACCCCCATGACACTAATTTATCTATGTAACAAACCTGCACATGTGCCCTTCAACTTAAAAGTTAAAAAAAAAAGAAAAGAATAAAAGAATTTCATGGAATATAAAGGATACCTCACTGTTGATGTAAAAATGTAAAAGGCCATTACTCTGGGCAGTTTTCTCTACCTTTTTGATGTAGAACTGCACCTCAGAGTTACTACACAAGGGGAGGGAGCTGGGGTATTTATACACCAGCTCCCATTAGTCATTGGATGAGGGCTGATGAAGTGGGAGTATAATCCCCCAGCACCTCCAGCTGGCCATGAGTACCAGCAGAGCAACCTTAGTGGGCAAAGAGAGCTCCCTTAGGAAAAAAATGCAGAAATGTGGGAGTCAGGCTGGCATGCACAAAACTGGCACCTACCAGGGTGATATGGGCGAGGCCCCAACAGCATGTACTACGGGCCCCGTTGTGTCTGCTCCCATGCCCTCCTGTGTATGTAACTGAACCCTAACAGTAGAAGGAGCAATTAAAACCTTGGGTTACAGAACCAGACGAACCAAGCCTCACATTTCAGCTCTCTCACTACGTGACATGTTGAACAAGGGGTGCGTCTAAAAAATGGGGTTCATGCATTGTTGAGGACGTTCCATGAGATAATGCCTGTTCTGTGCTTACCACAGCACACAATATAAACTCTTCATTATGAGCACATCAGACAAACTCCAAGAAACACTAACAGCAACAATTATTTTTTTCTACTATGTTCACTATATTTTCAAAAAAAAAAAAAGTCAAACTCAAAATGTTTTCATTAAAGTTTTTCTCCCCTGAATTATTTTGAAAATTCTGTTGTTGAAAAAATAAGACAAAGTTTGAAATCCAAAAGGTACTAAAGGCTACACAGAAAAGGCTTTCTCTCCTTTCACTCACCAGCCACCCAGGTGCCCTCCCCGCCCCAAGTAAATAAGATTATCAGCATGTTTGTG